TTAAGAAATGAATGAGCAGTTAGATTACAGTACTTGTATAAATGCTGTCCGATAAAGTAATTGATGTTCTTTAGCATTGCAATATACACATACTTAATTATCTACCTGTGTAGAAACGTTTTTAATTGCCTTTTGAATTAATACAAATACACATACATATTTATTACAGACTATTAACTGAACATCGCAATAAATATTTTAAGCAAAACGCATGATCGTTTGCAGAATATTCCACATTACCTGTTCTAAAATAAAATTTCTTTCTCTTGCGACTAGTTAAAACGTAAAATGATACTGATTTTGTTTAGGATATGCAAAAAGAAGGATATAGAAGATGCGTTTATGCTAAAAGCTTACATTAATATTAGAGGTCAAAGTCAAAAGATCAACAGAATCAACAGAAATTTAGATTCATTCAGATACCTCTTCTTTTCGAATGCTGAGAAATGATTTCTTTTGTGGAAATGCAGTAATGGAGGGATAAACAAGAATAGAAGGTAGTATAATTTGTATCTGACTACTGAGAAGATTACAAAACTGATAAACATATTGTGCTTTTGCTTTTTAAATCACCATTATTGTTTTTTAAGATCATAAACATTCTAAACCTAATCATTGATCATCTTATGTTACAATGACAACGGAGATTAGGCTTAAAAGGTTCAGATTAGATCTGATGATAATTAGGCCTAGAGGGTATTGAAGAAGGCGATCAAGCTTCGGAAATTTTCAAGGAAATAAAAATCAGAGATAATTATCATTCTTTTCATCATATAAATATTATTTGTTTATGCGTAAGTGCTCTAGAGTTCATTGTTTAAATTTTATCAAACTCTGTAAAGGTAAAATTTCTTTTATTATTATTTTTGAAGAAGTCAGTCATCCTTCTTGCAGTTAGTGTTTACAGTTCAATATTTGTGGAAGAAGGTCACATGAGACTTTTAAATTTCCATCTGCAAACTATCAACAGAATAATATGATAAAACTTTTCAGTGGCGGCTGGGTACTTAGAGCCTCGTATATCATTACTGAAACTGTCACTGTCACTGCCAGAACAAATAATTTGAAGATCGAGCTCAATCAGTTCCAGCAATCGATGTCAATTAGGATTCGAGAATTAAGCTCATAAGCTTCTCTCACTAATTAATCAAACGATATACAATGAACTTAAGACGCTGCCTTTCGGCAAATAAGAACATAATCGAATAAAGTTGAAATCGATGAAATTCGCAGTTATAAATTAAAGACAAGCCAGCAGAAGGTGGTCTTAAGAGGTCATCTGGTACAGGCAAGGAAAGGGTGCAGGGGCAGAGAAAGAGAGATTAAAACTTATTGAAATTCCGGAGATGTTCAAGCCGAACTGTCAAAGGGAATCATCATGCAAATGCGATGGTCACCAGTGCCCGAAATCACGCGAGATCTCACGAGAATTCATCGATGGCATTTCCCGAAGAATGCCTCCTCGCCAAACTTTGTTCATTAATCTTCAAATCCGTGGAAGATTTCGAACTATCGTTCCGAAGTATAATTTAGAACTATGTTTCTAGCTGAGGTTTGAGATTTTGAGATGTGTGGAATGGATCTAGATAACGAAAGCACAGAAAGGACATGCGTGAATACATAAGTAGTTCATAACAATGTTTGAAATAGTTTAAATGCTAATTATTAAAATAGTATTTAATGAAATACAAACAAAATAGGACCTTTCTTTTAAATTTATAATAATGTTTAAAAGACATTTAAAGTTTCTGTAACTCGAACTCCTTTAGCACTTAAACTATTGCTAAGATTCTAAGAATTTATGATATTGATGAAGTTATCATATTTGCGATTGTAAGCGAAGCTGAAAAAGCCTCAAAAATTAATTAACTTAAATAAACTGAAAATTTTGATGCATTATAAATGTAGACTCTGTTAGATATGGAAATCTCTTAAGCAATAGAATAGTGTTGAATGCTTCAACTAATGGTCTTCTGAATAGATCGGCATAACAGTGTTTATATATATTCTTCACATTTTTCACTTTTAGATTATTCTGTTAATTAATAATTTGAAATCTGTCCATTCTTTTTTTCAGCTTTCAGATAAAGATGCTATGATTTGTTGCATTAAATACTGAAAACATATAAAAAAGATTACCTATTAGAACACTAAAATTTATAGTTTGCAGGCCGAGTTAAATGCAATAGACAGCTATTAAAGTGAAAGTAATAAAATTTAGAAATAATGAAATAATTATCTAATGGATATTGATTTCTAATCTATAAAACGTCAACTGTTATGCAAAAAATTAAAGCGAAATAAAATTTGCAATTTCTTCTTTGTTAGCAAAGAAGACACTGAAGCTATTAGTTGTTTACAAATATGGAAATATTTCACTTTATTTTGACGTAGACTTATGAATACAATAGATTGTTGTATCATGTGACAATTAAGATACTGAAGCCATTAACTATTTCGCTGTTTAAGTCTTTTATCTTCTTAATGGCGTATTTACTTTTTCATTCTAATTTGAGAAGAAAATATCTTAGGCTATGTAATGCACTGAAGAAAAACCCATCCTAAACCCCTAAAATTTCATATGTTTAAAATTTCCAAAAATATCCAAAGATTCTCTTATTATTTGAGACATTGAACGAGATTATAAAAATCTTATTTAGACAGATAATCATACTTGAGACTTCAAGCCCTTTGATAAGACCTTTGGACAAATAAATACAACTGAGACATTTCCTTTTTTTTTTCAGAAGAATACTGACTTCTTGTAAGTTATGTAAGTTGTCAATTATATACACTGATGGCCACCCAAATTGCAACAGCAAGAAAGACAAGAGATATCACAACAAAATTTATTTAGTAGATAACATGTTGACCAAGTATCAAATGATTAAATTTATATACTTCTGTGAAGTGTGGTTCCTTCCAGAATCAGTAGCCCGAGTAGCCGCCCATTGTTGGAGATCACCACTGCCACACTCCTCAGCATTGATTCAAAGAGACTTTCAGTGTGTTCTTGGCAGACCAAGCAGCTTCCAAACATTGCCAAAGTTGATCTGGTGTGGCAGCTTGGGATGTAATGTGGGTCAATCATTCAGCAACCATAGACCACATGTTTTCTATCGGTGAAAGATCCAGAGAGCCAGCTAGGGAAGCAATTAAATCTGGCGATTGACGAAGAACCATTGGACAATGCGTGCCACGTGTGATCGATGCATTATCCTGTTGAAATATGGCTGTGAGCAAGCCCTGAAGATAAGAAAGGACAACTGGCTCCAACACCTCGGAGATGTAGCGCTGATTGTTTAAAGTACCGGCAATGCGTATTAGAGGAGTGCGACAGTGATATTCAATACCGCTCCATAACATAATACCCGGTGCAAGACCAGTGTGGCGGTGCATAACGCAGCTGTTCAGCATCCTCTCTCCATGGTGTCTCCAGACTCGAATCTGACTATCGCGGTGTTACCTCTTGGCTTCCCTGCCCCGTGAACAATAAAGCACATTAAAGGTCCGCTTCCCCTTTGGGCACTTTGTGGAGGTTGAAACTCCACTATTACCCTTCCAGGGGAGCAGCGCACTACCTGGATACGACACCAGGCAGCACTGGTCTTCAATTGCTCCTGCCAGTCGCATGGGCGAGCCCGTCGGAGAAGGCCGTTACCCAGGAAACCGGGGGGGGATAACGCCTAGGCACAGATCCTAGCCAGTAGCTTCGCAGAATTCTCGGGGGGACTATCGTGGTATTGCAGACAGAAGCGTGACTCGTCAGTAAAGACAATTTCATTCCATTCTTCCGTCCACATCCTTCTTTCATCGCACCATTGGCGGCGGAGACGTCTGTGGTTCTGCGTCAAGGGTAGACGAAGCAATGGACGTCTTACGGACAGACCACTCTGTTGTAAACGGCGTCGAATGGTACGCGCAGACACTGGATGTTGCGTTAAAGACTGAATGTACTGTGCCATGGTTCGTGATGTGACTGAGCGATCCGTCACTGCCATGCGCACAATGTTCCTGTCATCACGTGAAGTGGTGCACAGAGGTGGATGCGATCGAACACGTCGGTCCGTCGTACCCTCCTGCATCCATCGGTAACATATCCGCATTACAGTTGTTTGGTTTCGTCCAACACGACTACCGATTTTCCTGAAAGTTAATCCACACTCTCGGTAGGCCACTATCCTTCCTCTGTCGAACTCGGATACTTGATCAAACGATGATTGCTGTTTACTACGAGGCATAATTGACCGTTTCTTTTTTTGAAAAAAACACAAGAAAAACACATTTGCCGAACTTGAAATCGTCGAAAACTCCAAGCCTTCAATAGCGCTTTGAAGTGGCGCCACAGGCGCGTGTGATGTGCGTCTGCGCTGCAATTCTAATCATTTGCATATCTCACCTCCGATAATGCATGTTGTAAATTTCATATTATTTACATGCTTCCTTCAGGGTGTTGCATTAACGGTGCCAGCAGTGTATTTCAGTCTTTAATTTTTTTAAAGTTTTTGCAGTCTTAAAAATGGCAGCTGGGAAACTGAAAATAAGTTAATAATCTTGATGCATGCTATTAAATGCAGACTGTTATAAATTGATAGTTTGCGCCGTTAGGTGGCGCTCCGAACGTCTTGTCTCTGTTGATATTCTATAACTTAGTTTTAGTTTGATGGATGAACAAAGATGTTAAGCCTAATAATAATGAAGGCGTTTGCCTAATAATAATGATTGTAACCATTGTATAATATTGTAAATAAAATTTTGTGTATTAATAACGAGACAGAATGATCACTTACCTCTCGAATTAATGCTCTCTGATGGTAATGAAATAAGTTATTACACAGACTGAATTTATTTCTAAAATTATAAAATACCTAACGGTATAAAATCAATTTTAAGGGGCAAAGCATACCATAATGATAAATTTATTAGTTATATTTTATCCGCGTAATGTTAATTAAAACTTTTTCAGTAAAGCAATCATGAAAAAAAGGCGAAATACTTACAGTATGGTGCATAATAGTGCAGCAAATACTCATAAATATTCTCCATATACCTATCTCCTGTTACATGTATTTATTCAAAGAATACTTGCAACTGAAAGGAAATTTATCATTCTTTTTAAGCATTATCCTTCTTTTTAAGCATTTAAATTTCAGTTAATTGAAAAAAACTACGTTAAATATTAATAGAATATCTAATTATATCAAAAATAATAAGTATAAAGATTTTGTAGGAGGTATTAAGATTTTAGTTTCAAGCAAAAATTAGAAAACCAAAAATATTATAAATTTATTCGTCAAGAGCTCTATAAGTTCTTTTCTTTTAATAAATTATTTATTCAAATTCAAGCACCTTTCCATTTATTCAGGTGTTATTTGAAGTGTTTTTATTTCTTTACTGTTATTATCTACTAAGCTACTGACGATAATTTTTAATTATTTTTCATGCACTAAATATGGTACTTGATCTTGTTGACAATAGCTGAAAATCAGAAAAGGTTTTCTTATATGTTATTTATTTTGAATGTCAAATATAACAACTCCAGTTGGTTAGTAATAATTGCACACTTCTACAATTGCTCACAGTGTAATCCCTAGAAATTGCTATCCAGATCATCCCTTTTCTAGTTTATTTAATTTTGTTATAAGGTATTTATCCCGTCTTCTTAGCATGCCTTCGTGGTGTAGTGGTCAGCACGCTCGACGAGTATTCGAGAGGTCCGTAGTTCGAGTCCCGGCGAGGGCATTGTTCATTTTTCATCTCTCCTGCATCAAAAATCTTAATGACTCTACAGTGGCGCCCGAACTAAAAAAGGCGGTGGATGATGATTTTCCACCACCAGAATTTGGCGATTGGGTCCTTAATTCCCAGTCGCTCTTTAAGGGGACTCATTCCCAGTCGCTCTTTAAGGGGTATAAGATCTTCGAATATGTGATTGTTGCAAGAATTGAGATAACTTATTTATTTTAAAAGCAATTACTTCCAACTTTTCACAGCTGACTACAAAATATACCTGCTTTCTGAAATAGTAATCAGAACGTTTGTGTTGCCACAAATATTTTTTAATTTAACCCGCTTTGTGACAAAATTTTTCGTTATGTTTCCAACTTGCGCGCACAGTTTAAAACATTCTGTTGCATAATTTAATTCCATATTTAACATATAGCTTTTATAACATTTGGAAACTACTGTTAACCAAACATCCTAAGATTTTCATGTTAAATTTTTATTTTATTTGGAGTTGAGTTTATAAAATGTATTTTATTAAAAAAGTCTGTAATGTTTTCGTGCATAAAATGTTTTAATATTAATATATTCATCAGATTCTTGGTTCAGTTAGAAAATAGTGCCCATATAAAGAATTCCAAGAAATTTAAAGTATGTACCATTACCCATTTTTAAAATATCGTGCGTGCAATGTGGAAACATGATGAAACATTTCGTCACAAAGCGGATTAAATTACAAAAGTATTTGTGGCAACACAAACTTTCTGGTTATTAGATCCCAAAGCAACTATATTATGGAGTCAGCTGTAAAAAGTTGAAAATAATTGCTTTTTAAAAAAATAAAATATCCCAATTCTTGCAACAGTCATATATTCAAAGATCGTAAGGGGTTTAAGGTGTATGAGCCCCCTTAAAAGGGAGTGTATAGAAGGTATTTCACCCCGCTTCTCAGCATGCTTTCGTGGTGTAGTGTTCAGCACGCTCGGCGTGTATTCGAGAGGTCTATGGTTCGAGTCCCAGCGAGGGAATTGTTCATTTTTCATTTATCCTGTTTCGAAATAACCCATTGTATCTACAATGTAATTAAAACGATAACATTCGTCACATTTTAGACACCTTTTCTAATCTTCTCTACAGTTTCTACTTTTATTCAGGGAAACTAATTCACTTCCAATTTTCAGTTACAATTGGTAATATAATCTGAAATCCAAATTCCTCATCTTTTCGTTTTCTATTTAACCTTTCACAGAATAATATTTTCAAATTACAAAATAAATACTAATATATTAGTTTCCTTATAACATCAGAAATATACGCAAAGAAGTTAAAAGCGATTCAGTTTCCTAACTGAAATCATGCTTTAAGCCTTTACAAAAGCTCAAACGTGCGTTTTGTTATTTATTTAAGTTGTTGTTATATATCGAAATCGGGCGACTGCATAATATTTAAATACGGAAATAACAGAAAGTGTAATGCAATAGTTATTTCCGTAAAGAAAGTGAAACACTCACACATAAAAAACTTACATATTATTCAAGAAAACCATTTAATGAATAAAATTTATATCTAGGTATAAGGCGCACGCTTTCCTGTGTAAAAAATGTTTTCTACTTCCTTGTTTAATTATGAGAATAATAAGCTTTCGGTGGGTAAAACTCACTTCGCAAACGAGAATGTAATAGCTTGCAATACCGCAGTTCACATATACTGCGTAAATGATTTTGGAGGGAGATGAACATATGTGGATGAAAAGGGTGTGAAAATACCGTGACTATGCTACTTCTAAATCACTGAGTGATAAGAGAAAATGGGTAAAGGGATGCTAAAAATATTGAGTTAAATCAATATCACGTGTCTGATGACTACTTTACTTAAAAGAGAAATAGCAGGGAATAATGAATTATAACAGAAATTTTGTATTATTATTCAAAATTATTTGAAATAGCGTTTCCTAATTATTAATATTTTTTTATTTCAATGAATTTAATAAATGTTCGCCGATTACATATATTGGTATTTGATAGTTTCTTCATTCTGTTTGTACCCGCTGCCTCAGTTTCAGAGTTATATGAGACATATAGCAGTTTTTACTTCTGTCGAGCAATAGCAACAAATGATTCATTGCGAAATGTGAAAGCTATTTATTCAGTTTATATTAGACCAATATAAATTTTATTTTGGCCTTTTAACGAAATTTTGTATCTCTGTTGACTTTGTATTTTTTTTCTAGATGTATATAACAGCATAAATAAATAACAAAATACGTAGTTAAGCTCTTATGAAAACTTATTAATTTTTCAGAATAAAAGTAGATACTTTATAAAAGATTAGTAGAGATCTCTGAAGGTGATGAATGTTTTTTTTATTACTTGATTCATTAAAATAAGCTGGCGATGATCTAGTTAAAAATTTCTTGGTTTATCTTCTGTCATTGCTTAATTTCGTTTTAAAGGATGACATTCATTGGGGCATGAGATTTCAAAAGTTTTACCTTTATTAAGTCGAAGAAAGTAATGAAAGTACAGAAGCCAAGAAAAGGACATAATATACAAATACTTAATTTATAAAGTTTATAAGCAGACTAAAACTTATAAAAGTAAGGAGGTCTTGAGTAAAGAACAACTTTAAAAATAGGGATATAGAAAGCAAGCTACTCGAAGAGTAAATATGGCAAGAGCGACCATCAGGAATCGCTAAATAAGTACTAGTATTCATTTACGGTAAATAGATTGGCTGAGTGTTTTCGTATTTTTCCACGGAAGGTTCTCCGCGAAAGTATCCTTTCCCTCAAACGAGTAACCATTGATTGTTTTTACTTCCTTGTACGAAGTAAAAAGGAAGTATTGTAATCGCGAAAAGTTTCAGGCAGCATATTTCAACGAAAATATCCCATTTTGACCTCTTTCAAATGCAATTTAACGATGTATTTCCGTGATATATGTACGTAAGGACAGAATAAAAGACTCTTTTCCTCCAAAAAAAAAAAAAATTATAAAACTGCTTTAAAATGAATTCTGAAGAGAATTTTTTGTGGCGTCTGTACGAACGTATGTACCTATGTATCTCGCATAATTCAAAAATGAGTAGCCTCAGAACGCTGAAATTTTGTATATAGGACTGCTATAACATGTAGATGTGCACCTCGTACTTTGCTTGCAATCGGACGCACCAAACGTATATAAATATATTTATATATAGATCCACTCTGTTACCCGGCTCAGTGATCTCAGTTTCTTTACTCTTATATGTTTGTAAATTGTACATTTTTTGCTTTAAAAATGATTGAATTATGTTGTTTTTATCTTCCGGTCAAGGGTTTTATGTCTTTAGCAAATCTGTATACAATTTTAAAATTGTTTAAGTGCCGTTAAGCCTAATTTGATGGCGGCCATTGCTCTTGTTTACATTTGAAACAGCAGGATAATGGATTTGTTGCCAATGTAGAGAAACTTAGCTTCGCAACAACAAAGATAACGCCTTCATTTATTATTTAAATCATGCTTAACCCTTTCTGGAATTTTTTCGAGGAAATATGCGTTTAAGATTTACTTCGTAATTTTTAATACAGATATTTTGAGTTTTTATGTATTTTTTGCCTTGTCGCGAAGTGAAAACTGAATTAATTGAATGAGAAATACTCAATCGTCTTTGAAAAATTGTTTCTTTTTTGTTTTGTTTGCTTAATTTCTTTTATACATCGTTCTAGCTTTATTATAGTATTTGAATAGAACATGTGGCAACGATTAGATAATTCTTTAAATGATATAAATTTTGTGCATTCTGAGTTATAATATGAACGAAATTTAATACTGTTAAGTGAACCTAGCGCCAGAGTGTCGCAATGGTAAACAAAGTGAATTTTAAAGAATGCATTTATTCTACTGTGATTTATGCGCTGTCGGCGAAGTAGGTTTAATTCAATCTAATAAGTTTAAATGAAATGCAAGAGAAAATGCGTATAATTTAATATTACAAGGAAGTCATGTGGTCATCAGGAAGTCATGTACACATCAGATTTTTTAGTATTAAAGTAAGGAATCAAACAGTAAATATCGCAGGCATTGAAGCAGCATGAAAGAAAGAAACTCATGTCACGGTTAAGACATATTTCATTATTTAATTATTACTCACCTTCCCTTACTAGTAATGAGCAGTTTTTTAAGTTTTATACCATAACCATTAATACTTTCATAAATTTTACGCTATTATTTTATATATCTGTCTGATTTGATATTTCACTATTTTAGAGATGTTAATGTCCCAAATTTAACTTTAAATATATTTATGTTAGAAAAGTGGCAATAAATTAACTTTTAATAGATATTTGGAAAGAACAAAGCAAACAGACCCTTTGTTTCATAAATTGC